CCCCCCCCTCCTCCTCTCCCCTCCCGTTGTCCCCACCTGCTCCGCCGCCTCCGGATCGAGGTGCGGCTCCAGCAGCGGTACGGTGAATTGGATTTTACGAGGACCGTTGGGTTCCATGGCGGGCAGCTCCTCCGGTGCCGTTCCCGGTGTTCACCGGCGGTTCCCGGTGCCGCCCAGCCCCGCCCCGCTCCGCCCCGGTTCTGTTCCGCTCCTCCGCTACCACCGCCACCACCGCTCCCGGTCCCGAACGCCGCACCGCTCCGCCCTACAGCGCGGCCCCATTGGTTGGAAAAGGCCCCGGGAGGGGAACGGGGCGGACGGACAGGACGGACGGACGGACGGACGGATGGGCAGGTGGAGCGGAGAGCGGAGAGAGAGGGAACGGACACGTGGACAGAAGGACGGACGCACGGGAAGAAGGATGGAGGGATGGATGGATGGATGGATGGGCAGAAGGGCAGGGCATTCGGACAGAAGGACGGACACACGGACAGAAGGGCGGACACACGGACAGAAAGGCGGACACACGGACAGAAAGGCGGACACACGGATAGGAGGGCGGACGCACGGACACACGCAGGGTGGACGTACGGGCAGGAGGGCAGAAACGGAGGCAAAAAGACAGACAGGCAGATTGAGAGACAGGCAGACGGGACACAGGGATGGACACACGGACAGACACAAGGACACACGGCACAAAGGCAGACAAACGGACTCTGGGACGGACACACGGACAGGGTGACCCGCGGGGATGGACGCACGGGTTGGGGGTGGGGATGAACGCAAGAGGACGCGCAGCTCCAGGACGCACGGACACGTGGAGCAGACCCCTGAGCACGGGACGCAGGGACAGACAGACACACGGACACGTTGCACACACGTGGGCGATGCGCGTGCAAAGTCCGCACGTGCTGCGCCCGGCACCGCTGCCCTCGGTGCAAATTCCTTCTCTCAGCATCGATCGCCCTCACCGCTCCTCCCCGTCCCCGCAGGGCACGGCGACCCACAGCGGCGACCCCATGAGTTGTAGGGCGATGTGGGGAGAGGTGTGTCGTCCCCCCCCTCACCCCCGTGGTGGTGGATGGGACGGAGATTGGCAGCTCTCCCTGGATACAACCCTATAAATGAAGACGCACAGTTCAAGGATGGAGACCCCCGGTGCCACCCTAATGTGGGCTGTGAGGCTGCCATACTGCAGCCCGCCCCCCTCAGGGGGGGTGGTGGGGAAGCATTTCCATGTGTCCCCCATCCCACATCTCCCCCGTATGTCCCAGGGGACGCAGTGACCCCCAGCTCTGACCTCCAGCCCGGCAGCTGCTGCTGTTGGGCGTTGGAGAGGATTAGTCTGGAGCTGGTGAGAAAGAGCCCCTCCCGCAGCACATCGTAATTAAAACCCAACTCCACCCTCTTCCAACCCCCACCCCACTGATCCACGCTGTGTCCCCAAACGGGCGCTGCCACCCCCTCTGCTGCCATAGGACCCCAAATTGTGACACCCCCAGGGTGGGCACAGGGATGCGTTCAGGTGTCCTTTGCTCTGTATCATCTGTCCCTGGCATCTGGTGGGGTCTGTGGGGCACCAGGTCCATCTGCTGGCCCTTTTCCCATATCTCCTATCCCATTCCCTCTTCATTGTCCCCTGGCCATCCACTGTTCCCTATCCCTTGTTCCCTGCCCTTTTTTCCCTGTCCCTTTTCCCCATCTCCTGTCCCCATCCCCTCTTCCCTGTCCCCTGTCCCCTGTTCCCTGTTTCTTGCCCCTGTCCCATGTCCCTTGTTCTCTACACCCCGTCCCCAATCCCTTGTCCCCTGTCCCATCCCTGTTCAGCCCCATATCCCCTGCCCACCGTCCCCTTTCCCTGCTCCCTGCTTCCCATCCCTGTCCCCTGTTCCCTGTTCAGCCCCCTACCCCCATTCCTGCCCATCCCCTGTGCTTTGAACTGCTGCATTTTGGTGTTCCACCACCCTCAGTGCCCCTATGAGCCGATGGCTCCTTCCCCAAATCCACCCAGGTCCCCTCCTGGGTCGCCCAGCTGCTCTTCTTCCACCATCACCCCCCCCCTCCCCCATATGGGGAATCCCATTTCCACCTACTATGGGGCAACAGATGGCCCCGAGGGACACAAACCCCAAACCATGACGATCCCAAAGACCCCAAATTCTGGATCCCAATCTTGTGGGGATGCAGTGGGGCAGTGCTGCAGCCTCCCGGTCTGTCACGGAGCTGCCATCACTTATTCATGGCTCTGGCAGCAGGAATCTGTTAAGTAGGTCAGGAGAGGGGAGAGGGGGGGGGTTGTGGGGCTGCTTAATCCCCCCCGCCCCGCTGGGTGCTGTGCTGGGCTCTCCACGTCCCCCCTGGTTTGTATGGGTGATGGAACAGAGGTGGGATTTGTCCCCAAGATGGGCTGGGGGGGACGGCAGTGGGATGGATGCTGTGGGTTTTGGTGGGGGGGGGGGAGGTGATGCTGGCATCCCTTTGTCTCATGGGTTGTGTTCTCCATCCTCACCAGAATGGGGTGGGGAAAAATCCACCACGAGTGCCCAAATCTGTGTCGTCCCCCCACCCCACTTGACCCCCCTCATTTCCTTTGGGACCGTGGCAGAGCCGTGCCCCTCTCTGATGTCACGCAGAGTGAATTATTGATGCCCAAAGCACTCGTGTGCCATCAGCTCCCCATCCCTGTGATGCTGCAGTGGGGTCGGTGACCCCGAGAGGGCTGTGCCCCATCCTGGTTAACCCCAGACGTGATGGGGTGCGGTGTGTGATGCTCCTGCTGATTTGGGATCCACCTTTCTCAATGGGGAACAATGGGACGCCCCCGTTGCACCCCGCACTGCTCTGCCCCGTAGGCACGTGGGTGCAGACCCACAGCTGGGGGACCTCGTTAGTGCTGTCAGCAATTAACTGCCAGCCTGTGGGTCGTCTCCATGCTGCTCCTCGCCAGGCTTTGACTGGGAAACGCTGCCCAGCTTCCATCCATCCCATCAACCCAATGGGGTCGGAGAGGATGCCAAGTTATTGAGGAGGGGAAGGGGGGGGAGTGATGGGGGAGCGGGGACTGGGGCATCCCCAGTAGTGATGGAGTTGGGATGGGATGCCCTGTGTCCCTAAATACGGTGTCCCCATGCCCTGAAATCCCTGGGTCACCCCACAGCGGGGTGGGGATGGAAGATGCTGGATGGGACCCAAGGCTGAAAGCTCTGAGAGTCGGTCAGAGCAGAACGGGAGGAGATTGCTTTGTGCTCTGGAGGCCTGGAGAAGAGCCAGAGGAAGGATGTGAGCCTGGCAGAGCCATTCGCTGCCCTCTGCAAAGCTGCACCCGCTGATCCAAGGGCAATGGGGCAGGGAACGGGGCTTGGAAACACCTGAAAATGGCACTCTGGGGTGGGATAAAGCAATGGTTAAATCAGGGCTCGATCCACAAACAATCCCAGGCTAAAAATATCCCTCCTCTGGGCAGCACCATTCCAGGAGAGCACTCCCAGAGCATCGACTCGTTGCCTTTTTTGAAGGGATCGTGGCTTTGATAGAGCCGCACCGGGACGGGGTTACCCCACAGCAGCTCCTCAATTTGGGTAGGAAAAGCCACCGACGTGGCGCTGGGGAGGAAAGGGTTAAAGCCATCTTCATCCCAGCGCTCTTCCTCGGTCCTTCTGTCCTTCATCCCGTTGGGTTTGGTGGTCTGTAGGTCCAGATTGGTGGCTGTGGTGTCACTATTAGAGGTGAGTGTCCCCATCCTCGCCCCTCTCCCTCTGTCCCCCTGTCCCTCTGTCCCTCTGTCCCTCTGTCCCTGTCCTGTCCCCAGCAACTCTCAGCCCAGCCCTGGAGAAGATGCTGCAAGGTAAAGATGTGGAGATGCCGTCACACGGATCAAGCTGGAAAAAGGGATTTTGGGACCAACCCTGCGCCCTACCAACCGCCCCACCACACCTTCACCCCTGGTCCCCCCTCAGCTCCTTTTTGGGGTTTGGGTGCTGATAACAGCCTGCATCTCTTTATCAGCACAGGGGGCACCTGCAGCTTGGCGCAGGCTTTAGGATCCTCAGCCTCCCCCAGACCCCAAAGCCATTTGGGTCCCCAGTTGCTCCATCTCCATATGAAGCCCTCATTGAGTGCTGGGTTCTAATTAGCCCCCACCCACCCCCCCCCCCCTCACGTCAGAGCCTCATTAAGTTTTTCCCGTTGCGGCGGCGGATGTGGGTCAACGTTTGAGGTTTGGCTGTTGATGTTTTTTTTTTTAATTTCCTCTTCCAAACAGATGAATTTCCTCCCTCCCTGCTGACGACAGATGCTGGCAGGGGCTGGGCGCAGTGGCGGGGCAGGGGGGACGCAGACAATGGACCCTCAGTAGGGTTAAGGAGCACCCTGTGCCCCCCCAGTGTGGGTGAGTGATGGGGATGGGTGTGGGGTTGTGGCCAATGGGGAGCTGGAGGGGGGGGGGGGGGGGGGGGTGGGTTGGGGGGTGGGAGATGGAGATGGGTGGAGGTGGGTTTGGAGGTGGGGGTGGTGGTGATGGAGAGGTGCGTCCTTGGAGAGAGCATAGAGCTCTGTGCTGGGGGGATGGAGAGGGACTGGGGGACAGGAGGGTGATGGGGACAGGAGGGTGATGAGGACAGGAGGGTGATGGGGACAGGAGGAGGAGGTGGGGACGAAAGGGGGTGGTGGGGATGGGGTCAGGAGTGGCACAGTTTGGGGTGGGGAAGCTCCGGCGCGCAATGGGGACGAAGGGGCCACGTTGGGTCTCTGATCTCTGTGCCATGTGCTGGAGATCCCTTCTGTGCCATGCACTGCACCTTTGTTCCGTGGGGATGGGCAGTCTGAGGGTTGGGGGTGGTTCTGGAGGGGTCCTGGGGGGGGGTCACAGCATCTCCCTGCAGTTTTTGGGTGACTCGTATGGGGAAGGCCCCAGCCACGTGTCTCCGGTCAGCTTGGGTGTGCTGAGCCTCCAGCTATGGGGCTGCTGCTTGTGAGCCCCCCATCACCCCATCCCATGGCCTGGCTTCATATGGAGGGGGGTCCAGGATCTGACCCTGTGCAGCCAGAGGTGCCTTGGGGGGGTGGCAGGGGGGTCATGCTGGCCCTGCACCCAGCCTGGTGGGAGGTGAAATGGGGAAATGGTGACATGGTGACACGGTGACATGAATGCGCTGCGTTCGCATCCTCCCTCCTCTGGGGACTTTCTGCACAGCTGCAGCTCCGGAGGCATTGGGGGGGGGAGGGGGGGATGGACAGACAGACAGTTATTGCACCCAGAGATGGAACTGTGGCTCTGTCACCCATGGGTGCAGGGAGATCAATGGCTGCTGGGGTGGGGGGTGCTGCTGGGGGGCTCTGAACACAGCCAGGATCGGGGCCGTGGCAGAGGGTGAGGGGATGAGAGTCCCCATGGGTGACACAGTGGGGCACAGGGTGGGCAGCATCTGTAGGGCAGAAACAGCTGGGAACATCTGGATGGGAAATGGGGGAGGGGGGTACGGGAGGGCTGTGGGGACA